TATATATATATATATATATTATTTTGCATTTCTTATATATTATTTGCATTTCTTATTTGAAAATGTTAAGTAGCTTAGTAGTAGAAATCTATTTGTCATGTAATAGGTCATAAGTTCAGTTCCACTATTCATCATGAATATTTTGCTTCTGTGAGCTCCTCCCGAGTGCCATGGGATCTGTGAGTTCCTCTCGAGTGCCATGGGAAAGATCCGAAGGATGAAGTCTAACTAGACGGGCTCATTGGTCGGTTCATCACGAAAACTGGGAGGAACTCCTTACGGTTCTTTCTTTTTGATGGCGTGATGGAGGAAGGCTATGGTATTGATGGAGAAGCACGCCCTGGCCGTGCTAGGGTCTGACTTGATTGAAAATGTGATGAAAGGCTAAGGTGACTGATGATGAAGATTAAGGTGACAAAGATAGATGATTGTTTTTGGAAACAAACAAAACCCAATAGTTTTTGGAAACTAATAAAACCCAAATGTGATTAACACTTTCTTGATATTCAAAATCTGCCATCAAAGTACACAAAAATCCCTTTAAATAGGAAGACAAGGGACATAATTTCAAAGGACACCTAACTAAGGTTGAAAACAACACGCACAATTTCAAAGACACAAATTCAAAGGACACCTAACTAAGGTTGAAAGCAAAACACACAATTGCAAAGACACAAATTCAAAGGACACCTAACTAAGGTTGAAAACAACACACACAATTTCAAAGATACAAATTCAAAGGACACCTAACTAAGGTTGAAAACTAACTAAGGTTGAAAAATAGAAAACAAAAAGGGCTTTGAATGCAAGTTAATGATCAACCAAGTGGTCTCTTTAATTGTTGTCTTTCAAAGAGGATGGTGTGAAGGAACCCAAATTGGGCCCTAAAAGGAAGCCTATAGCTTCAGATTTTGAAAATGTCACCTCCACCTAAGCCCATCTTCACTTTGGAGTGTCTTCATCAACTACACTCAATGGAATCAAAGACCAAGGCCCATTGTCTTAGGACAACTTGTAAAGGCCTAGGCTAGATGGAGGCTAGATGGACCTTCATCACTTTTTTTTTTGTTGTGATTATTAGATTGACTCGGTTTAGCGCTTATGTGATGTCGGGTTGGCTCTTTAGAGTGCTTTGCTGTGTGTGGTGTGTTTTGAGTCGCTACTTTAATTTATTTTTTATTTTCAGAGAATCTGCCATCAAAGTACACAAAAATTCCTTTAAATAGGAAGACAAGGGACATAAATTCAAAGGATACCTAACTAAGGTTGAAAACAACACACACAATTTCAAAGATACAAATTCAAAGGACACCTAACTAAGGTTGAAAATAGAACAAAAGGGCTGAAATGCAAAGTTAATGATCAACCAAGTGGTCTTTAATTGTTGTCTTCAAAGATGATGGTGTGAAGAGGAACCCCAAATGGCCCTAAAAGGACTATAGCATTCAGATTGAGGCTGTTCACCTCCACTAAGCCATCTTCACTTGGCAGTGTCTTCATCAACTTACCACTAATGGAATAAGACCAAGGCCCATGTTCTAGACAACTTGTAAGGCTAGCTAGATGACCTTCATCACTTGTTTTTTTTTGGTTGTGATTATTAGATTGGACTCGGTTTTAGCGCTTATGTGATGTCGGGTTGGCTCTTTTAGAGTGCTTTGGCTGTGTGTGGTATGTTTTGGAGTCGCTACTTTAATTTAATTTTTAATTTTTCATTAAGAGAAAAATATAAGGTAAAAACCCCGTAATGGAGCTCCATTTTCAGTTTTGTAAGGCTAGGCTAGATGGACCTTCATCACTTTTTTTTTGGTTGTGATTATTAGATTGACTCGGTTTAGCGCTTATGTGATGTCGGGTTGGCTCTTTAGAGTGCTTTGCTGTGTGTGGTATGTTTTGAGTCGCTACTTTAATTTAATTTTTATTTTCAGAGAAAATATAAGGTAAAAACCCCGTAATGGACTCCATTTTCAGTTTGCCTTTAGGATAAAATGCATTAGCCTCAAATCATTGGCTCCGGAGACTAGGTTTTGGCTTCTTTTTGAAATGAATCAACAGTTTGGGTCATCATTGAGAAATGAAAATCATCATTTTTGCATGAATGTCAATTTATTAATGCATGAACATAGTAATAATGCATGACAATATCAGAAATAATGCATTAAAAGTAATAAAGAAAAGGTGCGTAATTCAGAAGGGAGCCCGACTCTAGCCTCGTTTATCGAGGATTCTAGGTTGTGTGACACATTCTCTTAAATCTTGACTAGTCAATTTGGTTGGGGCCCACTACCTAGGCTGAAATCTTTAGGTATGCATTCGTACCTCGTTTGTATGAGGATCAGGGCACACAAAATTCTACCATCGATTAGGATGGTAGGGCTATAGAGGTACCACTCAAGTAGTGGGCTTATGGGCGTGCCTGACAGACCAGGCTTAATTTAAAAATTGATTTTGTGGTTTGCCGGACGGATCGAGTTTGACCGTTTATAAGGTGCCGGACGGACCGGGCTTGATTGATAAAGTTTTGAGTTTAATGTTTTTATACCCTTGTGCTTGTGATGCGGCCGGATCAGAGCTTCATGTTGAAAACGACTAAGGAGGTTGAGTCTTCCTCCACATCAAGCTAAGGTAGAGCATAAGGACCCGAATTATAGTCTTATAATATTGTAATTAATGGATTAGCAATTAATTCTTAAATTAATTAATAATAAATTAAGCTTTAGTCTAAGGAAGACTAAAGTGCATGTGAAAGTCGAAAGGATTGACTTTTGAGTACCAAGTCGGGCCTTAAACTCAATTAAGGAAGAAGAGCAAGGTCGGACTATAATGCCTTAGAACCATCAAGGGAGAGTGAGAGTCATTGATGCTTGAGAAGTGCTCGATCAAGCAATAAGAGGTGAGGAAATGAAGGGGGAAGGGCCATATTGGTTTGCTGGGCAAGGGACACAGCAGTATTGATGTCCCCAAAATCGGGACCACTAAGCTCCACTTTGGTACCGACCAAGGCGATTGGTAAGCACCAGATCGACACTGATTTTAGGCTCATTGGCAATGACCGGGAGCTGGTTGGCGCCGATCAACGCAAATTATTGCCTTGCCCCTCCTTTGATTTTAAGATTTTCGGGCTTTTGGAGGTTCGTTTGAGGCCCAAACGTCGTCCGATCAAGCTGATTCTTGCGCCATTGGAACCGTAGCAAAATTTCCTACGGCTCGATTCTAAAATCATGGTCAACAACTTCAAATTAAATGGGTAACGGAGCGCGTGCCCATCCTAAACCTGAATCCAATGCGAGTACTGAAATCACTACCTAAATCCATCATAAACCCGTTTATACACTATTTGTATCTGTAAAAACCCATTTGTACACTACTCGGATCTACAAAAATCAAGTCGCTCGGGACCGGCACTGGGTAGGCTTAAAGCCACCAAAGCCCACAGTAAGCCATAAATATACTAAACAAAATTCCTATTGTCTAGGAGGCTAACCTACAAAAATGCCCTCGACTTATTTATCGACTTATTGCAGAATCACTCTAAAATGACCTTGTTCCTTAGGTACCCCCATTAGAATTTATATTAAAAAATAATTGTTAACTTAACCATAGTGCCTTGAAAAAGCCTAACACGGACCATATCAACCAAAGCAATCTGTTTGCTGCAGTAAAAGACATGTTAGCAAATTCTTCCAATAAAAGTAGAAGTGTAAAACTACTCTTATTTTTAAACGAATACCATTTATTTATTAAAAAATAAATTGAACTGAAGAATTTCAAAAGCAAATATGATTAATATCCAACTTTGCGTGCATACAATTAAATGATGCAAAACTACCAAATCAAAAGAAACTTTCTAGATTTTGGCATTCTATAAAAAAAAAAAAAAATCATTTTAGATGCTAAAATCACAAAGAAAACAAAAATAAAGATTAAATACCTTTGCTTAAATAGAGAAAGACTCAGTATATCAAAAGCCCAACTAGGAATTATTACAAATGAAAAGACTTCCTTATTCTTATGTACGTAAAAATTAAGCGAACCTAATCTAACATCTACAAATCAAAAGATAATAAGAAACTATATGTCTAAACCATTGAATAATTAAATAAAAAGGACAAGAATAACGACTCAGCCACTCTATTCTTGTTATGAGTATTATTAAAGTCATTCATTATCATTTACTACAACTAGGTCAGATACGAATTGCAATAATAGCAGAGAAAAAGATTATGATGTATAAACTCATAAACCTTAGAATCCCAAAATTTCATTGTTCAAACAGTTGTGATTTGTAAGTCAATAACATGGCTCGAGCAAGGTGGAATAGAGAGAAAATTGGGACATATGAAAGCACGATGAAGAAAGAAGCACATGAGACTTGCAAGGGGAGAGAGAAAGAAAGATCGATAAAATAGTGCAAAATAGGGAGAAAGAAAAGAAATAGAGGGGGAAAGATGAGTTGGTTAATGGTTTTATCAAAACGATGTGTTTTGATTGCTTGAGTTTATTTTTAACCAGGGTTACAGTGTGGGACCCATTAAAATATTTTTTATTATAAACCTTAACCCTAATCTTATTCTAGGATGCTAATATATCTAAGTTTGAAAATGATGGTGCCCAAGCAATAAAGGTCATTTTAAGGTGATTTTGCAAAAAGTCAATAAGTTCAGGGTGTTTTTATATGTTAGGCCTACTAATAAATTAATTTTCAAAGTTCTCTAGGCTCAAGTTCTCTACCCGTATCATCATATTCAATAGTAAATCTATATATATAATCCTGAAACAAAAAAATCTCCACAAAGCTGACTTGATGCTCTATTCTTTGAGCTTTCTTTTTTATCTTTTTTTATAAATTTTTGGATTTTAAAATTTTTTTAAGTATTTTCTTTTTTCTTTTGCAATATAATCTAATGTAACGAGATAGAAAGCAAGTTAAATTCAATTTTGAAATCTAACCTTATCTATTTATATCTATACATAAATATCTTAGAAATTTTAGCTATTCCATTCCATTTTGCACAAGCTCAATATCCGAGCAATTGATCTCAACAATGTCCCTCGGAACAAGTTACAGAAGGTATTTCAAAATTTTGGTTTGGACGCTGTTCTATTTCTATTTTCTATTTAATGGTCCTTTGGTTTCTCATGCTCATTTATTTCACAGGACAATAATGATCTGAAATAAAACTGACCCACTCCTCTTTCATAAGTTAACTCATCAATAAATATTATGAATATTTTTAATTACCTATTCTATTATCCTCTTGAATATTTTTAATCTCCCTTATCATACTGTAATTTATCAATCAACTATTCTCCTTTTGATTTTTTTTCTCCTATAAGAGAACACAATGTCATTTCATTAGGAATTTACGCATCAAGAAAGTGAAGTCTTTACTATATATGTATTGATCTTAAGAAATTCAAATTGTTGCTCTTTAATTCTTTCTTGATTTTTATTGCAGGAGTGAGCAAGGACAAATAAACATGAATGTTGAGGATTCAATTCACCTTATTATTCAAATAGAGCGCATTGATGAATTAACTAAACCTACAGTGATCATGGAAATTTCAGCTTTCAAGTTTGGTTGATATTGATGGAATTTCAGCCGGATATGAAGATAGTGTCTTCACAGTTGACCATCACCGAATCAAGATATTACAAAAAAAAAAAAAGGAACTCCATATTGATCCAACAACCATTTCAGATATATTATTAGAGCTGCTTGGATTAATAATCTTGACATGATTTAATTAATGTCTTAATTAACAACTAATATTTTTGGATTTCGAATAATTGTTAGTATCAATATCATCATTATTGATAGAGTTGTATTTGATCAAAGATCTATTCAACATAAATTTCAGATCCTACTTTTTAGCATCAATCTGAAGTTTGACTACACGTGTAACCTTTTTATCCATTATCTAAACAGGGCTTTGAAACTTGAAAGCAGTAGTCTATAGATATTCTTCGTCTTTGAAAAAGATAAACCCCTTTATATGTAGTTATCATCAACTTATATAGCCTTATTCTAATATTTTTTTAACAATAAAAATATTAGAAAAAGTGTATTTGTATGATGATTGCTCCCTTTACTCGGTCTTAATTATTCACCATAGCCCTAGGATGCATAGGTTAGTAGAGGGGTAAAAAATACTAAAAATTACTAACAAAGAATATATAATTAAAAAAAGGAAAATATATAATAATCCATAAATTATATGCAATCTATTCAAATTTACTTTATCAATACATATTTTTTTTACAATAAAAACTGTTTTTTTATTCAACAAAATACTGCAATTATATGTTAGTTCATCGAAAATTTTTAATAACTCAACCGATCTAAAGTCTCACTCAATTGGTTACATATGAATTTTACTCCTGAACATTATACGAAGTTCATTTGTTAATTTTAATTATTTTTATTTATGAATATAGTTAAAACATTATTCTTCATTTATATTTGGTAATTAGTTTACAAATAACCCATTTTTATAAAGTATTAAAAATTTATTAGATAATCATTCATCTTGAAAAAATATAATGATAATGACGGGTTATATTTATACTATTATTTAAAAAGTTGAGTTTTTCAAAAAAAAAAAAATTCAAATTCATTTATACCGCAAATTTTTCTTATATAATATTTATTTTTACATATCGTAGAATTACTGTTGAATTGTAAATTCTATTTTTTAGACACGATTTTTTTAGTGCAAATCAATACCTCATAGGATCACTAAATCCTAATACAAATTCTCTCCGTAATATATTATAATAATATGAAAATAATTGTAGACGCTCGATTTTTGCTCCTAAAGAGGACTCAGTGATGATGACTTTTTTTGCACAAAATAGGATCGGGACATCCAATCACTCTGATTTCCAGACCTCTGGTTTGTGTCTAAGAAATTGAGTTATTTAACTGTTTTTACTTTTTCGGGTTTTCAGGGGTTTCATAGAGAAACCGTGCCTGGGTATCGCCTCGGGTCCGTCCGGTGTGCATCTCAATGCGCTACCTGAATAGCCAAAATATATTTTTGTCGATAAAGTCCTTCTCGCTCGTTTTTTCTGACCAATAATTTTTTTATCTTTAATTTAGCAACAGAAAATCTGTTGGTAAATCAATTATTTTTATCGGTAAATTTGAATGCCAATTGGTTATAAATTTATCGGTAATTTTATTGATAAAAGTTAGTCTGTAATTTATCGATATTTTGTCGGTATTTTTTCAAAAATTACTCGTTATTATTTTTAATTCTTCAAAACTAAATTCTTTAGTCGATAATTTGTTGGGAAACAGTCAGTAATATTAGCCAAAATTTTAATTTTTAATTAATATACTATTTGCATTTTAATAATTATACTAATACTAATTAAATTTTTATAACTATTCCAAATAAGAAAATTAAAAAAAGTAAAAATAAGAAAAATAAAAGAAAAAAATGGAGATGGAGATGGAGAATAAGAAAAAATAAGAAAATAGGAGAAAAAAAATAAGAGAAGTAGACAACTTATGAGAATAAGAAAGAGAGGAAGAAGAACTAAAAAGAAGAAGAAGAAGATAGAAAGAGAGAAACAAAAAAAAAAAAAAATGAAGAACAAGATGGTATTGAAGAAGAAAAAAAAAAGAAGATAGGAAGAAAGAAAAAAGGAAGATGATGATGAAGAAAGGAAAAAAAAAAAAGAGAAAACAAAAAAAAAAAAAAAAAAAAAAAAAGATTTGGAAGAACAAGATGTATTGAAGAAGAAAAAAAAACAAGATGGTATTGAAGAAGAAAAAAAAAAGAAGATAGGAAGAAAGAAAAAAGGAAGATGATGATGAAGAAAGAAAAAAAAAAAAAGAAGAAGAAAGACAAAAAGAAAGAAAAAATGAAGAACAAAAATAAAAAAAGGAGAAGAAAGCTAAGATAAGGAGAAAAAAAAAATGAAAGAGAAGTTAGATAAGGAAAAGATAAAGGGTTAGTGCTTAAAAACAAACTTTCGGTATTTAGCGACAGAATTTTTTTATTGCAAAATGTTGAAATTTTGTCGCTAAATATTATCTTTACCGCCCATTTATTCCGCGTAAAAATTTTTAAATCTTTTTCAAAATTGATCGGTAATCTGTCGGTAATTGGTTGGTAAATTCCTGCAAATTAGTGACAGAAAATTTTAACGCTAATTTGTTGATAATCTATCAGCAACTTGTCGCTAAATTTCATCGTTTCTTCCCCATTTATACCGCTCAAAATTTAAAATTTTTATAAAAATCAATCGGTAATCTGTCGATAATTAGTTAGTAATTTGTCGATAATAGTCCGTAAATTGTCAAAATATGCGCGAATTTATGGCGCCCTTTTTACCGACAAAATATAAATTTATCGATAAAATTTATCGGTAATTTATTGGTAATCTGTCGGTAATTAATCACTAAAATTATGCAACCTTTTTGATTTTAAAATTAAAGTTTATCAGTAAATAGTTGCTAATTTGTCGATAATTACGAACAAAATCTATCTGTCGATAAATGCCGATTTTTTTTGTTGTGATTTGGTAATGAATTGGTTTGTTGACATTTCCAATTTTTGAATCTATAGTGTGAAGATGATGCAATAGTTGAGAACAACTTAGCCCGACTAGTGGAGTCACATCTGCCATTACAGGAGCTAATACTGTAGCCTAGACACCAACGACATCGATGAATGGCATGGGTTTATAGTTTGTTGTATATGGTGAGTGGTGGATGACGAGTTTATAGTTTTTTTTTTTTGTTAAAACAAATTGAATCATAGAAAAAGTTAAAAATGAACAGATGGAACATTGTAAAGCTAAATGAATAGCTATCATTTGTAATGGTTCTCATTTGATCATGGAGAGAAAATATTATCTTGTTTTGTCTTTATTGGCTTAAAAAGATGGGTGATTAGTTAACATATTTTGACAATGTTCTTTATTCAAATTTTATGCTTTGTGCCTTGTTGGGTTTGAATTTTTAATACAAGTATTGGCTGTGAATTGTGCAGGTTGTGAGACTTTTATTATGGGAAATTATGCATTTAAATTACATAGCTTTGCAAAGAAATAGCAAAAGTCCTTCATTTTTATATTGCCTTTTTTATGAAGCAAAACATATTATATGAAAAAAAAGTCATACGTTCACCATAGGTGTCCAATTCATACTTAGTTATCTTGTAATGAAAATTAAAAAATGATTTTGAGCTGAGATTAAGTTCATTTTTATAAGTTTATTGAAATTAGATAATTAGAATAAGAAAAGAACAAATATGTCTTCCCATATTGAATTTGGTATCGGAAGGGGTTGAAGGAGCCCTATAGGAGACTTAGCTTTATATTTATGAGTCTAACAAATCAAAAAAGCAGCCACATTTCTTTGAATGCTTGCTATCATTCCAGGCCAATAGAAATTAGAAGCTATCCTCTTATAGGTTCTGAAAGCTACAAAATGTCCTCTAGTTGCGGTGGAGTGAAATTCAACAATTAGGTGACGGATCCATAGAGAGGAAGGCGGTAAGACTAACTGGCCTTTGTAAAATAAGCATCTATGGACGAGAGAGTAGTGTGGGTGGCAACCAGAATTAGAGCTTAAATCTAAAGAAATTTAGAAAGTTGAGGATCTAGTTTTATCACACCCCGACTCTAATCACCTGAGGAATTGTCCGCTTTGGTGTAGTCCACGGACGCCTTACACCGCAGTGTAGTCCCCGCACGCCCCACACCTCACGGTTTTGTCCCGCAGGTTAAATGGGAAACTTCCCAGGAGGTCATCCATCCTGAGATTTCTATTAAGCGAGCATGCTTAACCCTGGAAGTTCTTCCAACTCTCCAGCCATTCCACCGAAAGGCGCCTCTAATGATTAGTTTCCCCCTTTTCGATATATGATTCCATTCATTCCTGTTTCCCACATTCCACTGCCCTAGCTAGCCTGCCATCCTAGAAGCTAGCCCAGGGCTTCGCTCTACCCGCCCTCTTAGGATCGCTTTGCTGGGTCGGGATGTCACAGGCCCATCAACTTTCGCGTGGTTCGTCCTCGAACCATACATCTACTGGAGGGGGTCCGGCTCTGATACCAACTGTCACGCGCCGACTCTAATCACCAGAGGAATTGTCCGCTTTGGTGTAGTCCACGGATGCCCTACACCACCGTGTAGTCCCCGCACGCCCTACACCTCACGGTTTTGTCCCGCAGGTGAAATGGAAAACTTCCCAGGAGGTCACCCAACGCCCTATCACCTAACGGTTTTGGTCCGCAGGTGAAATGGAAAACTTCCAGGAGGTCACCATCCCTGAGATTTCTCTTAAGCGAGCCACGCTTAACCCTGGAAGTTCTTCCAGCTCTCCAGCCATATTCCACTAAAAGGCACATCTGATGATTAGTTTTCCCCTTTTCGATAATATGATTCCGATTCATTCCCTGGTTGGTCCCGTATTTTCCACTACCTAGCTAGCCTGCCATCCTAGGATCGCCTTTGCGGTCGGGATGATCACAGGCCTCACCAGCTTCCGCGTGGTTCGTCCTCAGGAACCATACATCTACTGGAGGGGGTCCGGCTCTGATAACAACGTTCACGCCCGACTCTAATCCACCAAGAGGAATTGTTCGCGTTTTGGTGTTAGTCCTCGGACGGCCTTTACACCGCAGTGTAGTCCCCGCACCGCCCCACACTCACGGTTTTGTCCCGCAGGTGAAAATGGGAAAAACTTCCCAGGAGGTCAATCCATCTTGAGATTTCTATTAAGTGGAAGTAGCTTAACCCTGGGAGTTCTTCTTAACTTCTCTAGCCATTCCAACCAAAAACGACTCCTAATGATTAGTTTCCCCTTTTCGATATAATTGATTTCGATTCATTCCTGTGTCCCAACATTTCCACTACCCCTAGCTAGCCTGCCATCCTAGAACTAGCCAGGAGCTTCGCTCTAACCGCCTTTAGGAATCGCTTTGCCG